GAATCTAACTTGTAAACCCGACGAAATATGTGGATAAGAAGTGGCTTGACCACATATAAACTGTTAGTAAACGGTAGCCAAACATGGGCTGAGTTGAAACCCATGTCATTGCATGGACAGAACATTTTTCATCATTTGGGTATAGGCTACAACTGCTGTATCTTAAAAGAATGAGCATCTATTATGTAACAAATAAATGGACTGAAAAAAGTAGTAATACGCTAAAATATTTATACCATAAATGAAGTAAGGTTACAATTTTGACAAATTATCAGCCATAAAGCTGAACTCCATTCTAGAATGAACTCGAAGAAAATAGGTCCCTCTAAAATTAATAAACAGATCAGATATAGCCCTGAACGATGTTACACTTATACTCTGATTTAATCCCTCATAATAAAAGCTTTTAAAATCACAGTGATTCTAATTTCTAAACATCCCTAATTGGAACAACCAATTAATCTAATTAATACATTTCATTTAACGCATCGCTACGCTAATTGAAAAAATAATAATGCTAAAATCTAACAAATTAAAATTTAACAAAACCCTAATGTAAACAAATTTTACAATTATAGCTGAAATCCTAAGACTAACATCGATATTTGGGGTTTGGAGAGAGTAGATAAAGAACGGACCTCTTTGGAGTGGTGAAGGCACTCGAAATAATCTTCGCGGAGCAGAGCACAGTCCTTGGGCTCCCGGCAACGGGACATGCACTCGCTGAAATCCATCCAGAAATCGTAGCACCTCCCTTTGTTCCCCGTTATGCCCCATCCCGATGCCATTTTTCGACGGCGATATCTAGATTGTGGATTTTTCTCAAATCTGCTGTCCGTTCAGTGGACTTCTATCAATGTGGTGCGAGCGAACACAAGTTCCTCTCGGAGCCGATTCAAAGAGTTAATTGTTTATTAATTAGCCACTGAAATTGTACTTCGTCCCGAACTTTAAAATAAAAAGAGCTTCTTTGACACCCATTTTTATAAAAAAATAAATTTTAAAATAGTAAATTAGTGAATAAATGTGAATAAAAATAAGAAAAAAAATTTATTTACGTATAATATTATTTTAAGGTATTAGTAAAATCTTCATTACTCATTTGTCACATTTCATAAATCATAAGTCACTGAATTTTAAAAAACTTCTCATTGATCAGAAAACTTTAATATGTTGCACTTCATCACTTATTCACTCGCCAATCATCGTGTTTCATTACACAGTCAACTTATACTTTCTTCAAGTTATACTCATTGGACTTTAATGCTTTCAAGT